CCCCCGTCACATGTAGGCCATCTAGTTTTCCTCAAGCTGGGCATTGCGCTTAGAATCCTTGGGTCTGGTGGCAACGGTCCGGACACTCAGCACGTGTGTGACCAGCTGCATAGCAGACAAAGCACAGGTGATTGGTCCTACAGTGATAATAGGTGGTGTGTTGAACATCCCCACAAATGTCACAAAGAACAACAGGTCTGGATTTGTTCGCTTGGCTCCGACGAGGCTGCCCACTGTTCATGCTAAACAATCCAGTCTGTCTTGGCTGTTGCTCCAAAACGTGCTCCAGCATAGCTATGAGGCGCTCAATGCGATCAGGAGGTTCATTTGCCTGCTGAACAGGAGATGGAGCTGAAACAGAGACTGGTGGAGTCACAACAATGTTGTCAGATGTCACATGATGCTTACCAGGGCTCACTTCTTGATGCTGTGAAGTCACTTTCAACTGTGATGTCTGTCTCAGGTCTTTGCTGTGTTCAACAAGCCTCTCATGAACATCAGCAACTGTCCATTGTTGCAGAGGTTTACATTTGAATATGAGGGAAAGCTCAGGGTCAGGGCAGTGACGTATGAACATTGTAGTCAGATCATGAGTCAGATTATCAAACGTCGGATTCTGCCTCCTAAGACCATCCTCTGTCACTTCCATAGCTTTATTTAGCCTTAGCCAGTAATCAAAAGAATTCTCCCCTGACCTTGGCAATGTGGCGTAGAAATCAGCCAAAGGCATACTTGAAGAAACTGTATCACTAAAGTGCCGTTTCAGTATTTCAAAGACGAGGTCTGGGCCCACAGACAACAACAGTGATGGCTGGCTACGTATACCCACTCTAACCTCACGAGCCCGCCCCACAAGTTTACTTAGGACCTCCTCAGCCTGTTCTGCAACAGGAATTCCTTTCTTTTTCATGTAAGTCATCATCAGTGTTTCCCACTCCTGAACTGAGTGTGTGTCATTTCCATCCCCTTTAAAACTCACTGGCTCTTTAACATCAGGCCTCACTACCACATTCAACAGCGAAGAATCCGCCATTGCATTGCTCACAGCCCCACAGCCTAAGCGGGATTCAATGCAAGAGGCTATACTTTCACCTATAGAGAGCCCAATCCGTGATGCAATGCCAGTCAGGAGTTTGTCAGCCCCACTCTCATCCTGCAGTTTCTGAGTGCGTGGATCACACTGGGGTGGTTCTTTAGCAACATAATCATCAAACTTAAAATGATCAAAACCAGGATTGGGAGTAGACGAAGCTGGAGTAAACAAAACTCTTGCTCTACCCCTTCCAAGTGATGGTGTGGGGGTGAAACTCACAGAACCCCTCCTTCTACCAAAAATGGGTGTACTTTCCATGTCTAGGACTGTAACAAAGCAACAAGATAGATAACATTAAATGCAGGGCAAAAAAAATGTTCTTGGGGAGATAGCTCAAATACCCACAATAAGAAAAAAATTCAGTGACCAAACCCACTTAATCACACATAAAAAAAAAACAAAATATTTCTTGCCTCAAGTAGAAAATGAAATCAGAGCCAGAATGTATATCATTCTCTAAAAATGGCAATTTTCTTCCCTTTTTAAAAATTCACCCTCAATATCAATTTCACCAAGCTGTCATTGAGAAGGAAAAAAAAATCACGCAAAATCACATTGTCGTTGGAACAATAGCAACACAGTAATTAAGTCAAACACACTTTGGGTACATTAAAGTCTTTGGCGAGGCAATATCACCACCTTATGGCTCAAATGCAGATACACATACTGGCAAACTAATTACCACGCCTCCGCCGGTACAGTGAAAACGTCATGGCGTGCGCTGTTCCTCTCAACGCCCTCGCGTAGTTGTACAGTCTGCGGCGCAACCGTGGCAAGATGATCCGCCTGAAACTCCAACTCCCTTCCCGCGTCGGTGTCTCGGGCGCGCGCTGCGACTCCAGGCCACGACAGCGGTCCACCAGGAATTAGACGGGTCCCAACTCGCCGCGGTCACGTAGAAGAATGGGTCACGGCACCAATGTAACCCCTTCGACTCTGCGTTGTGTTTGTTTTATTAATAATGAGTCGGAATGCAGAACTGTATTTTTCCATTTATTGGTCCACCTGGCAACACAAGATCACTCTGGTCAGCGGGCTCAGGCATCTCGTGCACAGCGCTCTGCGAAAGGAGCAGCACGGTTATCCCAGCTCATGTTCGCTAACTAGTTAGCTAGCTAGAGAAAATTCTCAATCTCCGCCAACCAACGCACACAGACAAACGACACACATATCCACACACTCCCATGAACATTAATGTGACTGACTATACACTCATATTTCCAAAAATAAACAAAATAAACTCATAACATAACCATTCATGAGCTCGTGCTGTGCTCCGCAACCTACCTCATGCACGCCTCTCGGGAACTGACGGCGCGACACCAGTACCCGTGACACACCACAGCTCCCGAGAGGGCGCCACTAAGCCGACAACAAATCACAGCAAGTAGAATTACACACATACATACTGTTACAACAGCATCAATCTTGATAAAAAAGGATCCTTCAAGTCATGACAAACATGAGTTAATGCAGAAAATAGAAACCATAGTGAGTGACCACAGGGGAGGATATCTGACACTGACTGAAGAAGCTGATCAGACAGTGATGAAGAGGTCCAAACCTCCTCTGAACCTGGTCCTGTGTGGTCGAAGAGGAGCTGGGAAGACTTCAGCAGTCAACGCTATTCTGGGACCGAGAAGGTTTGGTCCACCTGCTGATTCATCAGAGTGTGTTAAAGCCCAGGGAGAGGTGTGTGGACATCGGGTTTCCCTGGTGGAGCTGCCTGCCTTGTATGGAAAACCTCAGGAGGCAATGATGGAGGAATCCTTCAGGTGTATCTCCCTCTGTGATCCTGAGGGCGTCCATGCCTTTATCCTGGTCCTACCTGTGGGTCCCCTTACTGATGAAGACAAGGGAGAGTTAAGGACCATCCAGACCACATTCATTAGAATATCATGGAAAAGTTTTTTAATTTCCATAATTCCATTCAAATAGTTAAACTTTCATAGATTATAGATTCAGGGCCCACAATTTCAATGATTTCAAGTATTTATTTGTTTATTTTTACAGAATTTGGGCTTCCAACTCATAAAACCCACGAAAACAGGAATTCAAAAAAATTTGAATACTGTGAAGAAATCAGCCCAAATTTTGCAGGGCATGAATGTTTTAAACTGAGTGCCACACACTACTCATCTACTAAACTCAAAGCACCTGCACAGGTTCCCCAGGTGTCATTAAATTGCTTCAGTTTGGTTCAATTGTTTCAGTTCGGTTCAATATGGGGAAGACTGCAGACTTGACAACTGGCCAGAAGACCATCATTGATACCCTC